GATCCCTCTCTGCTCCCGACCAACCTATACACGCTTTTCTCTAGCGTGGTGGGAGGAAGTTTGTCGCGGTGTTTTCAACGAATCGGGTGATCACCTAAAATCCTGTTATCGACGTGCGTGTCGAGCCGGCAAACCGCCTATACACGCTTTTCTTTAGCATGGTGGGATGGGAACCCGGTGCGACGCATGCGACGAGATCGGGATATTCATAAGTACCCGCTTGCGGGGAAACAACTGCTTTTCATTCATAAGTACCCGTTCGCGGGGAAACAACTGTTTCTCTTTTGCAACAGGTACCGAAGACCCATACACGCCTTTCTCTGGCGTGGTGGGGACAAAGACTTTACACGGCCGCGGTGTCCTCGAAAGAGGGCACCTACCGTACACGCTTTTCTCTAGCGTGGCGGGAGGCCCAGTTTTCCGACGTTTTTTCCCCTAAACGGGGGAGATGCCGGGAGCCTACCGAAATTTTGGGTGAATGTACGATCATACTCGGATCTGATTTGAACATCAAATTAGCAAGACTTGGGCATCATTTGAACATTAATTGGAACATTAAATGAACTTAATCTGGGCACAACTTGAGACAAAATCAAGCTTAAATTCAAGCTTAATCAAATGAACATGAAAGAAATGACAGTGGAACTTGAACTCAATGCAAAGGACCTATTTGAACTCAAAATTGAACACACATGGACAGCAGGGGACTCGACAAACGGAAGAGATTCATATTGAGCCTGGACTTTATTTGAACATGTTTTGGACTTAAACTTGTGTTTCTAACTCAAAAAGATGAACGAGCCTAAACTCACATTGAAATTCATTCTAACTTAACATAAACAATGAAGAGCCTGAACTCAAATCAAACCATGAAAGGCTAAATGAACTTGAACATGAGCTCACCATTGGGATAAATAGAAGACTTGTGGACTCAAGTTCAAACGAGTATAAAAAAGCTTGAACTTGGATATGGACTCAAATGCCATCTTTGGTTAATAAGAATGTATAATCTAAATTGCAAATAGATACACAAGGCTACTTTA